TAGGTTACAGGGGTGGGCTAACAGGAACAGGATGGGGCCAAGTGGGGCAGCAATCGGGGGTTGGGGTGGGGCATGTGGGCCTTGCAGGGGGAATAACCCCTGTGTGGGGGCCGTAACCCCTGTGTGGGGACTGAACCCCCTGTTGGGGGGCCATAGCCCCTGTTGGGGGGGCTGTAACTCGTGTTGAAGGGACATAGCCCTTGTGTGGGGGCTGAATCCCCTGTTGGGGGGGCTGTAGCCCCTGTGTGGGGGCCATAGCCCCTGTGGGAGGGCACCAAAATATATATTCATGTATTCATGAAACATGTATTTAGAGTTCACTTTATTATTATGATAAGAAATATGCTTTAATACTGTCGATATATCAATAAAACATTATCCAACTGATCGCTGTCTCTGTCTCGCTCTCTCTCTCTTTATAGTGGTCTTTTGTTTTACTTGTAGAGGAACATAGATTTTGGGGTATTTTACAGAGTGACTTTGGGATTTTTTTATCAGGGATTTTTCAGTTTTCCAATAGCGAACACCAGAAATCCTGCTGGGGAGGCCAGTGGCAGGACCCTGCCTGCTCAGAGCTTGCACCTTGAACCCAGCAGGCTGTGGCTGACCTCCTGGCCAGATAGGGCCAGGAGGACATGCTTTGATAGTTCAAAGCAGGCTACCACACCTGGAACATCTTCCCGGCGATACCTGCCCAGATGGCCGGGCAGGGGGCACAAATGGCAGCAGTGCCGCACAGAGGCCAACTCTGCAGCCACAGCCCACTGGCAGCTGGCCCAGAGGGGCAGATACTTCTACTGGCTGTGCAGTCCCCATCTGGGTCTGGTAGGTGGGCAGCAGGTCACAGCCAGGCAGCAGCCCCCACTACCAGACTGCTGCAGTGGCTAGAGGGTGCAGGGAACTCTCAGGGCTGCTTTAGCAGTCCAGCTGGCACAAGGGGAAGTGCCCCCAGGTACCAATTGGCTGGGCCCCAGAAGCTCCTAAGAGCTAGTAGCCCTGAGCTACTTGCCAGGGTGGCTTTTTATATTGATGGGGACAACACAGGTGCTGGCCCCGGGTTCTAGCTCCCCCTGGCTGCAGATCTGGGAGGAGCCAGGAGGGTTATTTTGCCCCAAGTGGCACAATTTGCTCCTCAACAAAGTGCATGTCTGAGCATATGCGCTGAAGCAAAAAGCCCCGGCTCAAATTTGCACCGCTTCTATTTGAGCTGCTGCAAGTGTACATGCTTGCATGTGTGGACATGCCCTATGTGTCCATCACACCTTAGCAGAGAAGAACATTTAATCCTACCAATCTTGGCTTTCTATCCATTGTGCTAGTAGATGCCGGATTTCCATGGGAAAGTTATCATCATAGAACTGGTCTACCTGCTCCAGAAATTTTATTTCCAACTGCTGGACTTGACTCCACTGGGACATACTATAAAAGAAACAGTGAAAAGGGTTAATGTTAACTATACATTTAAGATTTCTTACGTAGTATCAACAATTATCCTTGTCTTTTGTTTTCAGAATACATGCTGCCTACTTCTCACTTCCCTCCTTTCAGAGGATGCTGTCAGCTCAAAACAATCAATTAGTCAGTTAAATAAGAGTTAGAAGTAGTTTTTGGTGTTATCCCTGCCTGGGCATTCCTGCCAATTTTTTGTGGTTTCACAACCATAGTTTCCTCTTTATTGTAAATGGCTTTCTGCATTTATAAGTCAGTGTATGAAAACTTGTAAAGCAAATAGAAGGTAATCTTTCTTTTAAATAGAATGTCCATTTCAGGAAAGTACTGTAGTTTAAATAGCAAAATTATATTTTAAACTTAGATATGATCATTCTTAACAGAATTTTAGTAAGCAGCTAGGTAGTTGCACCTGCTAGTTTGAATAATTTATGAGGCAAAGGGTTTTTTTGTGATATATTTTATTAGACCAGTTGTATAGTTGGGAGAGAAACCCTTGCTTCTTGCACATTTTTCTGGGTCAGCCGGGTTACAACAATACTGCAACCCTACTACACAATTTAATTAATTTATACTGCTTTCATTGTGTATTGTATATATAATAGTATTTTATTCATAATTACTATGTAGCCCCCTCATTTTCTTTGCTAGTGGGCTATATCCTAGCCCATCACATGAAGTTATTTATCTCTTTAACTACTATGACACTTTGCGTGCTTTGGGAACCAGCCTAGGAACAGTAAATCCATACAGAATAAAAGGAATGAAATAAAAGGGATGAAGACATGGATAGAAATCAGAAAGTTTGTATCTAAACTAGGTGTCTCTAATTTTACCTTACCTGTGGGGCTTTCAGTTTGGAATTTTGCACTCTACAGTTTTACAGGATTGTGGCTATGTGTCTGGTAAAAGTAGTTCTGGAAAGATAACTAAATACAAAGAATATGGGATAACCCTTGATGTAGGACCAGGACACATATATCAGACCTACACTTTCATTCCTTACTCAGGCAAAACTTATACTGATCTCCAACAGTTTTTAGTGCAGGATTGTGATAATTATTATTATGGTTATAATCTGTGACAAAACTCTAGTAATAGAGTTTTGGAAAATACTACAGAGTCATGGTTATAAATACTGGGCCACATCTGAATACTAGATCCAACCTCTGCCAGGCAGATTGGAGTGGGAGCGGTGACTAGCTGACTGACTATGCCTCCTTGATTATCTGGATGCATGTTAGCAGTGCTTAAGGCTGCACTAAATTGCTGCAGCTAGCATCTTGCTTCAGTTACTGCTTCTGCCTATCATTCATCTTCACCCCTGCTAAGCCTCCTGCGGTGGGGGCTGCAGAACAAAAGAAACCTAGAAGCCAGGCATGGTATCTTGGTATCTTTGGTATCCCTGTGGTACAAAGGACAAGTTGATTTGAGATATCAGACTTATATTTACTTTTTTGAAAGAACATGAATTTATTTTTGAAGAAAAGTATAAGCAAAGTGTGCATTAGTTTTGAATGCTTTAAACTAAACGAGTGAAGGAGGGGAAAAAAGAAACAAAACGTCACTGCCTTGACCATCTCTTCTGTTAGTATTTATTAATTAAATGTATTTAATAAATGAAAGCCTTAACCAGAGATTTGGTCCCTTTTACATATGTGTATAAACATTATACTTGTTGAAATATTCACATGGAAATGTCTCCTCGATAAAATAAGGGCTCATCAGATTATTTTTTTTGCAAGGAAATGTTGATTTTAACCAAATATTCATTTTTTTTCAGTTTTGAATCACCATGGCATAATGTCACAATTTTGAAGTATTGACCCTGCTTTTTTAGTCTTGTGACTATCCATGTTTAATTTTCTTTGAGCCTAAGAGAGGCACTGTATAAGTTGAAGTACTTATGTACTTGAGTCTTGAGTAGTTACTCTGGCGACACAGAAGGTTGCTGGTAGCTTTTTCTCTGAAAAGCCTTCATAATTTGTCCCTGTGTATGTGAGTTATTGAATGCAGTATATAACATCAAGGGAGTATGCCCCAGAAAAAAAATGATTAAGGGTCAAAATGTGCTCAGATAATAAAATCAGATAGTATCAGTGAAATGGATACTATCTGGTTCTCTTAAGTTGATGGGTTGTTCTCTTAAGTTGGAGTGTTGTAATGGTTCAGAAAATGTGACGGGAAAGGATGGTTTTTGGTGATTTTTCTTAAGTTGGTAAATAATTATGCATTTACTTCAATATACAAAGTCCTCTGAAACTGCATTATAATTCTATTTTATAAAAACTTCCCAGGAATATAATTTCTGAATGACATCCTAATTTTTAATTCCCCTTCTCCTTCTTACATTACTTTTACTTAGCGAAAGAGAAAATAGTCCCTCATTCACTTTTGTTTCCTTGAAATGGTCCAGGAAGAATTAGATATGAAGGTACGTCATTCTCTTTACAGGTGAACTGATAATTTCGCACAGTTTGCAGAAAACTCAGGACTCAAAGATACATACAAAGAGCCAATTTCAGTCTTAACCCCACTGATTTTGTCATGCTTGCTCAGGGAAGTCCTGGGATTCATATACTGAGTCACTTTCAGTGAGTGTTTTGAGTAGAAAATGTTAATGGAGTTTAATGTTTGGGAGTTCTGGAGTTGTAGGCGCATCAGGAACACACAATGAAGCCTAGGGAAGGAAGGCTATATTTTGCTCGTGTAAATTTTTCTAGGATTCTATTTACATGTATTTACCTCAATAAATAAATACTTGCAGGGCAAGGACTTTTATTTTTAAATGGGATTTTGGTAGCATAGCACAGAGTCTTAGAAAGTTAGGGGTGGAAGCAACCTCATGAGGTAATCTTGTCCAACCCTGTGGTCAAAGCAGCACCACCCCAGCTAGATCATCCCAGCCAAGGCTTTGTCTAGCTAAGTCTTAAAAACTTCTATCTAATACAATCTAGCTCAAACTAACCAATACAAATCATGGTGTTTTCCATTTCTTTTTCAGTCATGAAATAAACCATTTAAGTAGACTGACTACCATGTTCTTTTGTTGGCAAACAGAAATTGAAAAACAACTTGAAGCACTGACTTGGTCAAACTCATACCCATAAAATATTTTAGCTTCTCAATTTTTTTTGTTTTTATTTTTTTGTTTGTTTCCAAGGAAGCTAAGACTAAACATCAAAACTACTGAACATATGTAGTTTATTTTTATTATTACCTTAAAGCACAATGTATACATGGTTGCCTTACATTGCAGACTTGTTTACATTGCAATGAAAGATGTGCATATGACTCTCAAACTGTTTCATATTTACGTGGTGTATAGTACAAACTGAACATGGGCTACAAATTTTGAACTATTTCTAGGGATAAAAAAATCTTGCAGAGCACTACATTTTCAATATGTGCCAGGAAAACTGCCTGGCTTCAAAATGTGCCGGTTCTGAGGATGTCACACGCAGGTGGTCGCAACAGTCCTGCCTATCATCTCCCTGTCCATCCATCCATCTGAATCATAGACCATGAGGGTTGGCAGGGCCCTCAGGAAGTCGCATCTAGTCCACCCCCTGCTGAAAGCAGGACCATCCCCATCCCAGCCAAAGCTTTGTTTAGTTGGGTCTTAAAAGCCCCCAAGGCTGGAGCTTCCACCACCTCTCCGGGGAGCCTGTTCCAGTGTTTTACTGCCCTCCTGGTGGGAAAATTCTTCCTGATGTCTAACCTAATCTGCCCTTGCTGCAGCTTGAGACCGTTTCTTTCTCTCTCTCCTCCTGTTCGTCCACCTTGCAGTGTGACTCCTCGTGAAGGCCCGCTTGGGGGAAGGCGGGCTCCGACCCCGAGCACCCGCGCTCAGGACTCGCGCCGGGGCCTCCCTGCGCCTCAGGGCTCAGCCGACACGTGCGCGTCGCGTCCTCCCCCTCGACGCCGCCGGGCTCCGAGCCGC